AGCACTATCTAATGAGTTCCTTTTCGGAAAAGTAAAACTCTTATTTGTCGAATGTCCAATAGCCATTTATTTTTTATCTGTATTTTTTATTTATTATTGTTTTTATTATAGTAAGCTTTACTGTTCCAATCCGCTATTTTTTTTATATCGAGATACACCTTATCAAAAAAGCGTTTTTAAAAAACTAACCGATTCATCGATAGTTTTTGTAAATAATCGATTAATCAGCATCGATATATTCAAACGTCGATTAATTTAGCATCGATTTTTTTTTTATACATCGCCCATCCCTAGTGTACGTAAACACCGTGAATAAACAACACTAAAGTGGGCTAAGTCTTTGTTGTAAACTGGATTTTAGTGACTACTACATACTACTTGATCGCGGATGTGTACGTGTTTACTGTCCCTCGGCAGGATAAACTTACAACGCAAGTCTCCCTACCATTCACAAATAAAACAACTAGGTCTAAAACCGTGTTTTGGGTACTCAACACCAAGACACGGAGTTATACTTTCGTTAAAAACACTACCAAACAAATAAATCAGTGCAAAAAACACCGAAAAAGTCCAAAAATATACTTAAGCGTAACTACGCACGTCCTGTCGGAACGGCTTGTCGCCGCCTTAGTTTTATCATACTAAAAACAAAGCATCGACCACAAAAAATGACAAGTCGTAAAACTGTGGACCTAATAACGTCACTAGAAAAATAATTAACCTTATACTTTTTCTGAATGTTATACCAGAGAGAAGCCTGAGAGCGGCCAGGTCCATAAGAGAATGTGTAATCACTTTTCCGCCCCGTAAACTAGCGCATGTCCACGGGTGGTACACATTGGAACTACGCAGCCAGTCCACGAGGGACATGTCGGTATGTCCACAGCGTGCGGTTCTATTCTGTGCTATGTGCACATGTCCAAATGGTCACCTTCTTCAGGCGTGTGAGTATATTCGCGAGCGTGGATTTGATTTTTTTTGAAATTCTCTTTACGACATGTATTTCTTAATTCTCTTCCTTTAAAGAAAATTAAGACATGTAATAAATGTTCTCTTTCTTTAAAGAGAACTAAGAAATGTTATAAATGTTAAATTTTAATACGAAAGAATGTAAAAAATAAACGTGTTATGTTCAACGACTGAGGTGTTTTTCCAACCGGCGAGTGTTTTTGCGCATAGTGCGGAATGCGTGCGCTCTATTCACAGCGCAGCGCAGCGCGTAGCCTCGTCGATCTCTCAAGTGTAACAGACGTGTTGTCAGGTTGTGTGCGATTCAAAATTTTTCTTTTTCATTATAACAAGTTCGTACGCAATTTTATACAAAAGTAAATTTCTTCGTGAATTAATTATATAATTCTGATATTGTAAATCTACCGTGTATATCGCGATTAAATATTTCGCGTATATAAATTATTAGTCTTCCGCTTCGTAATTTCTTTATTTTTTAAAATAATTATTTTATAATACATAAAGCAATATATCGGTTTATCTCTACCGACATTCATTTTTTTGCTACATATTGTATATAACATATATTGGAATATATACTTTTTATTTCAATTTTATCAGAAGAATTTTACAATACGGGTTTAATATTTTACAAATTCGAGTTTCGTTAATACTCTCTATTAAGAGAACCGCGATAAATCTATAACTTTTTATCCATTTCCGAATTCTTCTCTTTGACAGTTTGGGTGCAAGCGGTACCATTGTCATCTTAACTGTCATTGAGAAGAGTTCGGAGGTGAATAAACTTTATAGATTTTTTTATATTCAGTAGTTCTTGTGTTGACTCGATTTTAAAGAGTGGTTGTGTTGTAAAATTCTCTGTAAAATTCAAATAAAAAGTACATTTCCACATATCATGTCTATAACATACATATAACAAAAAATGTGAGTTACGTGTAATCGTAATACATTGCTTTATATATTTAAAATACTTTATTTTACAAAAAAACAAATCTCGAAACAGCAAGGTAATAGTTTGATATACGTGAAATTTTTCATCGTGAATTAACGTCTAATATTATCAAAAGCAACTTTTAAAGAAAATATAAAAGAAATTCACTTAATCGCGCGTGTGTGCGCGTGTGAAAGTGATCAAATGCCAAAAAAGATACAATCTGGACAATATTCCTTTTGGACTTTTGGTGACGCTGATGGCGGTATTCCTGATGGCGGTATTTGCAGTACCGGAGGAGCCGGTTCGGGCAATAAAATGCTGGCACGAAGGTATATTTGTGTTTGTAATATTATATATCTTACACACACATATAAAAGTATTAAAATACATCCAATTTTCTTTGAAGTTTTTATTCTAATGATAGACTTTTATTTTGTTACAGAGTGGTATCGTCGCAGTAAGTGGCCAGCGCACGTGAGTAGACTTTTAGAGTAGGTGATGGGTTTTTTAAAAATCAGTGCGATACATAGTTTATACTTATTTATCTCAAAGCGTCGAGAAAAAATAATTATTTCAAAGATAAAAATATAGTTTTCGGGCTGAGATTATAGATTTAAATTAAATTTACTTATAAAAATTAGAGTATAATAAAGATTAATAAAGTATAATAAAGAACAATAAAGATATTTTTGAGATATTTTATATCATTATTAAAAAGATATATTTGCTACTCTTTTCAAACCAATCCAGATTTTTGCTTCATGTAATGGTTATTTTCTGTAATTATTTAATACCGTAATGTAATTATTTTATACCGGTTTTTTCTCGACGACTTCTCATTTTCAACAAATTGCGAACGTTTCGTTCGCCTTGCGTCAAAATCGACGCCTTGGACCTCGCAAATGCGAGGAAATAACGCGATCGCGGTCGTGTACGCGGTTTTAGATTTCGCGAATTGTTTTATTTAAAACTTTTGCCATTTTTTCACTTTTTGTTGTTTATTGATATCGATTAAAGAGTAAATTTTCCGCGAGAATTTTACGATAAAGTTAGATATTTTAGAAACTATCGAAAAGCATATCGGGAAAGAATAAAATATTTATTTAATTTTGACGACTTAGCGTTACTATTACCGCGATTTTTAGTTTTAGTACGAAAAGTTTTACGTATAAATTTTGATTGATCGCGTTTTACTTAACTTTAATTTAGATTTCGAATGTGTAGATGTATAGAATTTTTCACTATGTTTTTAATTTTCCTTTTTCGATCCGTTCCGTTTTCGATAAACAATTTTCACAAAAAAATTGCGGACTGATGCTTCGTTAAAGTAACGAAGCAAAATACTTCGCTGTGCTAAGCAGAGTAATTCTCGGAAAAATTGCAGGACTGTTTTATAATATATAAATTATAAAAAAAAATCGCGGAATATTTATTGCGCTAATAATAATAATTTCTGCGCACGCAAAGGTCTTTTTCATAACCACCTAAACAGGTTATACGCAAATAGACATCTGCACCCGCTGATCGCAAACATATCAATTGTAACAACCGAGGTGAAACGTGATATCGGTATTATGATTACTGCCGCGAGTGAATTTCATAAATTAGCAATCAAGAGCTCTAAGAAAGCGGTACAAGACAAAAGAGCGGACGTAATTGCACGTATAAATTCGCGTTGTATAGGTCGCGTGGGCTCGTTTCAACCCACTACGACCTGATGTATCGAAATGTGGTGTGCGAAATAACAGCACTCGTCACTTAAGTAACGAGTGCGTAACGGTAAACGCGTGTTTATCAAGATCACTTTCGATTTCACGTACGCATTTTTTTTTTATGTAATTTGTTTTAATCGCAACTCAGAATTGTTTAACGCAAGTCTCCCGACTTTCTTATCGTAAACCGATTAACCTGTTAGGTTTCAGTTTCTTTCTATTCTTCTTTAAGTGTCCGATCGTATTCGCTTACTGGACCATCCAAATGCCCGAGATCTATTTACAGAGAAACCATTTGCTTTTTCAGTAGCATTGCATTCAGAATAGATGTGTAACGGAGTACAATGATTTCAATAATTGAAAATAAAATTTGATTTACGACCGACTGAATTTGACTTTTTATGAATAAGCATTGCAAAAGTAGAATTAAAAAAAA